GAAGACGTTTCATACTTGTCTCCTTTGTTTCACCGTGTCTTATGTTGGAGCCGTAATTCCTGTCGGTTCACTTTGTGCAACAACTCCAAATTATGAGCTTTTTTCATTTTACTTGAGACTAATTAGATTTAGTTTGATGCAGGTGTTTGTTTCAGAACTGAAAATTACTGAACTATTCCTTATTTGTTGAATTTAAGTATTCTTTTTATTGAAATTGATGCCATAATCTTTTTCTCTATTTGATCTAAAAAAAATTACCATATTTTCCAGCCTATAAGTCACACCTTTTTGCCTAATTTTCATGCCCAGCGACTTATCCGCCGAAGCAACTTATTTATGGATTTTCCCCCCATACTCATAAACCAATTTTTGACTGAGATGACCATTTTCATTCATTCTGACATTGAAAATATTGAACAATACCATTTTCAGCCACTAGATGACACTTGAGTAGTATGACATGCCGTTGTGTCATGTAATAGGTTACAGTGGCTATTAATGACACAGTCGGCTTGCTGCCATCTTCATCCAACTTGCCTGGAGCAACCGTCAAATCAGCTTCATTTTGCTACACCGCCCCGGCGAAATGAAGCTAATTTGACCATTAAAGTGCATTTATTATTTAAAAGTTCAACTGGGACACACTATTATTATAATGTCGAGCAAACAAATAATTGTTTTAGGTGCTTATCTTGTTAAATTTCAAAGAAATGCACATTGTTCCTCTTTCCTGATTTCCTCCCTCAGAGCGTGCTCCCGGAGCACCGAGGCAGCAGATACTTTTAAAATGCAGCTGATTTGACTATTAAAGTTCATTTATTAAGGAAAAGTTAAACTGAGACGCACCTTTGCTATAATTTCGAGCAAACAAATAATTGTTTTTGAGTGTTAATCTTATTAAATTCTTGTTAAAGTCCTCCTATGCACGCTCCTGCGACAGCCATTTGGCAGCCAATCAATTTCTGGCACAACACCGGCCCACTACCAGGTTGTCAGCGGTGACGCATAATAGATGTGACTTATATGAAGCGACTTATTTATGGATTTTTCCAAATTATTAGACATTTTTGGACTGATGCGACTGATGCGACTTATACTCCGGTGTGACTTATAGGCCGAAAAATACGGCAATAAATAAAAGGGCAACTGTGACAAACTACGACAAATATGCATCTTTTTACAGTTTCTTAATTCCAGGAGGTTGGTGTTTTGAAAAAAAAGATGATCGTATCTATTATACACAAATAATCCAAAGACCATCATCCAAGAGTGGTGTTTCCATATTTTTTTGCCAGGTGTTGTAAGATAATCGTACTCTAAAATGCTGGTATGAAAGGTAATGGGAGATATTTGGAAGCTGGTTGATGAAAGAATGGCAACAAAAAAAAAAGCAATAAATTGGTCTTAACACGAGACTTTAAGAAGCCTCTGCTGTTATTTAAAAAGAAAGGCGTCAGCAGTTCTGCAGCATCTTACTAGATGCTGACATTAGAGGATCTCACTATCCTCCTTATCGGACACAAATGTAGGCCAAGAGACCCATTTGCATTTCACTCTAGCTCTGTTAACATCACATTTAGCTCTGAGAAAGCACTGATAAATGTTTGAAAAAAGCCAGGGAACTCTTATTGAAGCTGTGTCCAAATTTAGGTCATTGCAGAATTATTGAACAGCACCCATGTATTCCCTCATGGAAAATAATAATAATAAAAAAAAAATCAGGTTTAGGAAGTATCGTTTGGTAAGAAGCGTTCAGAACCATTTATCCAAGTGCTCAATCTACATGTACAGCTGCCTTTAGATACCCTGTAATTTTACTGCGTTTCCACCCTTATAATAAAAAGCCGACAAGACCATTTACTTTTTTTTGTAAGAAGCCAAGATTTGCACAGACGGAACATTTAATCACTTTTTAGTAGTCTAAATACAATGAAGACCTTCTGATATGTTTTACGAGATCAAATGCCATTTTGAAATGCGAGTGTGCAGCGTTTAAATGGTCTATATCTGATGTAAAAGTTATATAAAAGGTGCTAGAGCAGCACCACTGAATAATGAAAAGTGATAATTTTAGCTCTAATTATGAACAAGGCGGAGAAAACTGTATTCTCATCAGTATTCTTTCTAGCTTTGCTCACTGCTCTTTTTGTGTTTCATTAGTTTTTGTTACCTTTTTAGGACTTTTTCTTGCCAGGACCGAAAGTCTGGTCCTAATTAAGTCTGTCGCGATAAACAATAAATCAATGAATCGCATGATAAATGAAAATTATCGACAATTTTCATTTATCGGCTTTATCGTTTCTTTGTGTCTGTAGGAGCCGTTTATCTTGTTTCTCTGTGTTTATGTCTACTAGGGGGTGTATTTCATTTTGTGTACTGAATATGTCAGCAGAGGAAGTTGTTACTTAAGGGCAGGTGCGATTCTGTTCAGGTGTTGCTAATGAGAAGGGGCACCTCCGTCTTGTCAAGCTCCAAAATCCACAATTGAAACCTGTGCCTTCATGTAAAAAGTTGTTTTTCTCTGCAAAAAAAATGCTGAGAACTTCTTTACTGATTTTTCTTTTAGTAAAAGCTTTGTGTGACAAATGTTATGCTAAAGAGCTCAAACCACACTGAGCGTCCGCCATTTTGAGAAACGAAAAACAGGAAGGAGAGACAGCCCATGTCACGTCAAGGGGCCTCCCTCCCATTTTTCTTAGAGACACGCTGCTCGCTCCCTCACTATCCATCCTTTGGTTCAAACAGTCTTATACTGCCATCCGGTGGTCGAAAAAAGGTACTACACTCAAAACAAATTAACCAACGTTTCCTTTTAAATTTGACAATAATTACCAATTACTGACCAATTTCAAACAATATTATTGTTTATCGCAATAATTTCAGAGACAATCACCCAGAAAAATTTGTTATCGTGACAGGCCTAGTCCTAACACAGTGGAGGTTGTTGTTATTATTATTTTTATTTATTTATTTTTTGGTTAGGGGTTAGGTTTAGGACCAAGGTTTGAATTGTGTACTTGAATGAATTTCCCCACAACATGTTTACTTCACATAACAATTTATATAATCTGGAAACAACAGAGCTCAACCGATATGGAAATTTTGGCTATCGTGACACCAAAATTGGGAGGGGAAGGTTGATGCCGATAACCAATATAAAGGCTAAAAACTTTGAGCTTTGTTCACCCCCAAGAATCCAAGTAAACAACTACTTTAAAACCTGTTTTAACATTTGAAGTCTCAAACGTGCATTCACATTTTCTAATCACACCATAAAGTTATCAAATGTGTTAAAAAAAAAGAAAGAAAACAACTCTTCCCTGTTCATTGTTTAAACCATCCATCACGTGTGGTGACGGTCTAATTTGTGCTGACCACAGCAACGTTGGTTGTTTTTTTTTCTTTGTAGAGAAGCAAAGATTTCCAACAAACAATACATTTCATTGAGAACGACAAAGATAACGATACTAATACTGATATATAGTATATGGGTACCGGTTGGTTTTATTGTTTTTCAGACTATAAGTCACATCTTTTAGCATAAATTAGCAAGTCCTGTGACTAATTTGTTGTTGTTTTTTCCTCCCATATGTATAACCCAATTTTTGGCTGAGATCTGACGATTTCATTCATTCTGACATGGAAAATATTGAACACTACCATTTCCAGCCACTAGAGGGCCCTCGACTAATATGGCAAGCCAAGTGTCTTATTAATAAGTAAAAGTGGCTATTAATGAGACACTTGGCTTGCCATACAAAAGCCACCTTTGTCTCGCTCTGGAACTCCTGGAGTTTCATTTTGCTGTCCACCCAGGCAAAATGCAGCTGATTTTGACCATTAAAGTGCATTTAGTAAGGAAAAGTTAGACTGAGACACACCTTTACTATAATGTCGAGCAAACAAATAATTGTTTTTAAGTGTTAATCTTAGTAAATTCTTGTTAAAGTCCTCCCGTGCATGCTCCTGCGGCCACCATTTGGCAGCCAATCGATTTTTGGCACACCACCGGCCCACGTTTCCGGGTGGTCATCGGTGACGCATAACAAACGTGACGCGTCAGCTGTGACTCATAATAGGTGCGACTTATACGGCAAAACATCCCCCCCCCCCACACACTTTATTAGACATAATTGGGCTGATGCGACTTATATGGTGGTGCGACTTTGAAGGTGGAAAGTACGGTATATATTTTACCTCTGCGTTAGATTTATTGTTTTGAATAAAGTTTTACAAGGCAACAGACTTTGCTAAAAGTTAGCTTGCTAACTTGAGAAGCGCGTAGCTGATGACGAGCAGTTTGAAGGATTGAAGATAATTTATTACTGTTGATTTTTTTTAATTTATTGTACAGATCAGTTCCAATGAACTTTACCACGCTCTGTTCAGCAAAATACACTACACAGTATTGCTCACTGCCTCAGCTGCGCTGAAAGTGAAAGTTAAGTGAACGGCCATGACTTGAAAGCAGTCTGCACGTGCCCTCTGCTGGATACATTGTACATTTACGCCTTTTGTAAATAAGGACAGGGCTTGTTCCCAGTTTTTATATTGGCGCATAATGGCACAATTATCACCGATACGATATATCCTCAAACACTTATATCGGCCCTAACGATATATCATCTGAGCTCTAATACATACATGTGATGCTTACTGAGTATACACATTAAATATTCCTACTGCGTTTTTACTCAAACAGAAGTTATAAGTTTGAACCCCTTTAGAGTATTAACATAACCCTGTCCAGGTAAAAAACATCTATCCAGCTGCAAAATCCTTGGGATTGATTTTGTTTGTTGCCTCTTGCTGTTGGTGTTGAAAACATTTCAGTGGTATAGTTCTAACCAGCTACAGCACTGATTATTGGCTCTACTTTATGGCAAGAGGCCATGTGCTCTCTGTGATTTTCCTTCTCATTAATCTGCCACACGTTCTGTCTCCTCTCTTCCTCTCTCCTGCTTCACGTCTCTCTCCTCCTCCTCCTCCTGCTGGCTCAGGAAGCCTCGCCCCGTCTCCCAGCTCGTCTCTCAGCAGCAGGTAACGCAGCAGTTCGTGTTGCCGTCGCAACCCAAAAAGGAGAAGAAGGAGAGAGTCGAGAGGGACAAGAGCGAACGGGAGACGACGCAGAAAAAGAACAGTCACAAGAAGATGAGGTAAATAAAGGCAGAAGGTTTACAGCTCGACAAAATGTTCAACATATGCATGTACACAATAAAAATATTAACTTAAGGTGTCATATTCTATCAAGTACTTAAGGAAATTATTCCCTAAAGGAATACGTATTTATTTTCTGTCATCTCTTCAGGCCAAGATTAAAAAACATCGACCGCAGCAGCGCTCAGCACCTTGAGGTGACGGTTGGTGACCTCACAGTCATCATAACGGACTTTAAGGAGAAGGCCAAGCCCTCGTCCACCTCCGCCACGTCCTCCAGCTCCGCCTCCATGGCCGACCACCACAGTCAGAACGGCTCCGGCTCGGAAAACACAGAGAGGGGCCTCTCCCGCTCCTCCTCACCCCGAGGAGAAGGCAGCTCGGTCAACGGGGAATCCCACTGAGTCCCTCAGATCCGTCGCTCACGGCCTCCACCCACGTCTCATCTGCAGAGCTGCAAGAGGATTTTATTTTATTTTTTTCAGCTCAGCAGCGCCTCGTCAGTTGAAAACAATTCCACATCCATGAAATTTAGCATTTGGGATGAATCGATTTATTTTAAATCGCGTACAATTCCTTACGTTTGAGTACTTGCTGATACTGAGTACCGATACAAGTACTCATAAATGCCATTACACTTGAGAGTTACTTTGAAAATGTGTCTAAGAGTCCGAGCAGCTGGCTGTTTGTGTTACCTTCTTAAGCCAAGCCAGGACAGCAATAGTCTAGTCCAGTAGCGCCTGTTGGTGGAGCGCGGACTCAGATCTGTAATTCCCAGTGTCCTCGTCTGTAGCAGGTAGAGCGTGGTGTTCCAGCAGGTCTGCACATCCTGGTGGAGTCTTTTGGCTGGTTGAGCTGCCGAATAAAGGAGAGAGAGCCCATGTCACGTCAAAGCCCTCCCTCCCATTTTTTTAAAAAGAGACACTCTGCTCGCTCCCTCACTATCCATCCTTTGGTTCAAACAGTCTTATACTGCCATCAGGTGGTTGAAAAAAACGTACTACACGCAAAACAAATTAACCAACACTTCATGTTAAATTTGACAATAATTACTAATCATTGTCAAATTTCAAACAATATTATCGTTTATCACAATAATTTCTGAGACAATAAATCGCCCAGCAAAATTTATCGTGACGGGCCTACTTACAAATTGATATCTATGTCTAATAAAGAAAAAAATAGTAAATTTATGTTAAAAAAACCAACTAAAGTACAGGCTGTGAACTTTACACTGATAATGACATAGATAAGCTAACGCATCACTGGAAATTTATAAACAAACGTTTCAAAGTCATTAGTGAACACTCATGATAATCTGAATTATTACTTACAGGCAAACATTCTTCAGGGTTTAGCTAAGAAAAAAAGTGTAAACATGCAGCTTTACAGTAACACATTTCTATTACTATAAATCTTTTAGAACTGGTACCATTCTCGCCACCAACCAGTAAAGCATGTAGATCAGGACAGGCAGTTCAAATAAAACAATGATTAAATAAACGGACTCCATATTGCTGGTATTGCTCAACAGCTGCCATAAAGTGGTACTGATACACTTTTATGAGTACTAGTACACCCACCTGGTATCAGCCTGATACTCGACACTGGTATTGGACATCTGTGCTTCCCTATTCTGCATTAAAGCAATATAAGAAACTGAACGTTTTTAGTAATCTTCACTTTGAATCTGGATCTTTTATAAAATCAGAAGGATGCGACACTGTCCAAGTCCTGCTGCTTTGGATATTTACTGTGAGGAACTTTGATAGAGCGGACCAGAGAAAGATACCTGGGAAAAACAATTTGGACAAAGTAAATCGTTTTTGTTTATTAAGTCCTACTACGACCATCATCATCCTCAGTGGCCAGCAGAGAGACTTGTTCTTGTTCCCCCCCCCGTGAGGAATTTTCTGCTTCTGTGTGAAAACTTGACTCTTTTAAAAAAACACATTTTCAGTGTCTGAGCCAAACTTTTACTCCTGATCTTAATGCCCAGAGCGTTTCCTGTTCCACCGACTCTGCTGTACAGACTTTTTTTTAAAAATGCAGCAGAGAAGACTGAACTCTTGGCATTATGGGATGTATTTACACAGGATTTTGGAGCAGCTTTTAAAAGCATCTGACTGAAAGGCACAGTGTGATGTGAAGGGCAGAAGCTGGTGTCATTGCGTTGAACTCCTATCTCGTTGATTCATTCTGGGCATAAACTACCACACACATAAAATTGTCTTAACATAAAAAAACATCAAGGCCTAAATTTCCTTGAAGAAGTAAATATCACTAAAACTAAGATTATAACCAATAAAACAACATTGTGCTCAATCTTATTATTGTGGGATGCTTGGAGCAGGGGTTCTCAAACTTTTTGGGTTCAAGGAGCAAAAGTTTCAGGGACCCCTTCATAACCCTCATGTTTATTAAATAATTTTCTTCAATTTGCCTCTTGAATTCAATGAGAATATTTGTGTAACAAATACTGTATGTTCCGGACTTAAGTAAAAAAATGCCTCATGAAGAGGAAAAAACGAACTACAAGTCACTTCGGAGTAGAAGTCGCATTTATTTAGAAGTGCATTTCACCAAGTGCAAGAACAGACATTTAATCTGAAATAACAGTAACATGAACATGCCTGGTAGGGATGCACAATATTGGATTTTTTGCCAATACCCGATATGCCGATATGTTAAAACGATACCGATATTTTATCTACTTTGTCAGAACATAGCCCTATGATTTAGGCTTATTGGCTACAAAAATTGTGCAACAGCTGTAAGAGCTGGTGACATATATTCACGAACATCCATATGCATAGCACTTTACTTATATGGATGTTGTGTTAGCCCCGTTAGCATGATTAGTCTTACAGCCATCTAATATATCTGTACCCAAGTGCTATCGGCTATTAGCTTCTCAATGACATCAGAAATGACGGCTTGGAACTCTGGTACGGTTACGTCGGAAAAATATCTCGGACTGGGGACGATGTAGCGAGGCTCAACGTAGTCCAGAAATCTTAAGAATCCGATATCCTCACCAACGAAAAAAAACTTCCACCTCCGACATTTTGAATTTTCCTCTCCGCCGTGAGATCAGGTAGGCGCATGTGACGTCACGTTGTGCTGCCGTTGCAGGCATCCTCGTCACTGGGTTGTCACACAAAAACGGCACCTTTTTAGATCGGTGAATTATTTTGGCCCATGTCCGATATTTAACTTTATCGCTAATATCGGCCGATATCGATACCATGCCGATAATATTGTGCATCCCTAATACCTGGGATCCTGAACAGACTTAATTAACGTAACAAGCCAACGAGTCCAACAAGCAAGTTGCCGGTAAATTCACCAATCTCATTCACTTTTGGGGGCAATTTACTTGTGTTAAGTTTTTCTCAGTTGTCTGTAAGTGAATGTTTTTGGTGGTTGTGGGGGTTAGCGGTAGAGGTACAACATACAGTCGTCAAACGCATAGAGGACCCTCTCGCGGCTGCAAATGGTAATGTTTACTCTTTGGTTTATGTCGGTATGAATGAACATTTAATGCGTCAGTTAAAAATTGCGTTATGAATAGGGAAAAACCGTATGCCGTATTTTCTGGCGTATAAGTCGCAATTTTTTGCATAGATTTGTCAGTCCTGTGACTTATATGCTGAAGCGACTTATATATTTTTGTTTTCCCCATATTCGTAATGTAATTTTTGACTGATGCTTTAAATTTCTAAGAACTGCAACAGCGAGTCGTCCTGTGCATGCTCGCTTCACTGAGCCGGTGCAGGTGGAGGAACGCTGGAGAGCTAATGGCTCCAGCCAATGATGGATGGATAGTGCTGCGCCACCCAGGTGAAATGAAGCTGTTTTGACCAATAAATAAATGCATAATAAAAGTGACGGGTCAGCGGTGGCGCATAAAAAATGTGACTTATACACCGAAGCGACTTGTATGTTTTTTTTTTTTCAGTCTTCTCGATGCTTTTTTTTGACTGGTGCGACTTATACGCCGGAAAATACGGTACAAGTCGCTTCGGACTGTTGAGTTGCAGGACTGGCCAAACTATGAAAACAAGTGTGACATATAGTCCAGAAAATACGGTATTTTAAGACCTGTTCTTTAAGTGTTAATATAATTTTTATACTTTTAAACAAAATTTTTAATTTCAACGTCCAAAAATTATCAGTATATAGAAGATGTGGAGTCTGGGGGTCCTCCCCCAGAAAATTTTGAATAAAGTAGATGTGATTTCCTGCATTTTTTGTGTATTTTAACGGGCTGTTAAACGTCTACATCTAATAATTAAATTTTTATTTTTTTGCGGACCCCCAAACACCGGCTTCCGAGGACCCCAGTTTGAGAACCACTGCAGTAAACGATGGCTGTTAATGACACCAGTTTGTTCATTTTAAAAATCTTTCTGTGCTGCATAAGCAGGGCTGGACTTAGTTCAATTCCCAGTACAGAAGCACAGAAGGTCGAGTCCGCCCCGCACCCACCCTATGGAACCATAATGGGGGTTTGATGTCTGAGCATGAACTGCTCAGGCTTCCAGAGTTTGGCGACAGACTGAGCTTGAGGACGACCCTCTCCCAGCAGAAATGGCGTAGATCTAACTACGTAATAAAACTTCTAGAATAATAACAGAGGAAATAGATATTTCTAAAATATTATACTACTATGTTTTGATGTGGTTGTATTCCTCAACATGTCTGTGTTCGTCATCGAGATTTATACCCAACGTTTTAATTAGCACACATCCAGAAAACTGTCATGGCATGAAACTAGTGAAGTCTTGGTAAATTGTGGGCTAAGTCTTTTAGTTTGTGAATATTTGTCTGAGGTTCCCTCACCTAGCTGGGACTAGATGAGGGAACTGGAATTCACTTGTGGCAGAAGAAAAAAAAAAAATGGAAGGACACTTAAAATGCCACAGTGTCTTTTTGTTGATTTCTTTCGTCTCCGTTTTGTCTTTATTTGTTAAGATGTGTCAACTTGTTTATTACGTGTCGGAATAAGAAAACGGTGAAAATCAAAACGAGAAAAACGTGCCGATTGATTATTGACATGTACGGGCATGTTTAATGGTGCTGTCTTTTATTTTCCTAATTATTTAGGAATGAGAGTTGCTCAACTTTTCTCACAACATGAGCAGCTTCAGTAATGTCATTGAAATCCATTCAGTGGTTCATGAAATATTTTGCTAACAGACTAACGGTAGGTTTAAAGCTGCAATATGGCTCACTATGTAGCACTCGGTGTACCGTATTTTTCGGACTATAAGGCGCACCAGAGAAAATTAAAGGATTTTAAGTGTGCCTTATAGTCTGAAAAACACGGTAGATATTGTGGATGTTGCTAAACTACCACAAAATTCAGTATCCGTACAATTGAGATCAGCCATTTTTGTGTTTCCTAAGATCAGTTGGCTGTGGCGGACATTTTGAGTCGTGTTTGCTCCAAACGTTCATGAGTTGTAGTTGTACATGTAATGATTACTTCCTGAAAGTTTCATTATTGGTTCATGAGATATTTTGCTAACAGACTCTGTTGGCTAAGTTTTAAGAAAAGATCAAAAGTGCTAGTGCTCAATGTGTGTTGGGAATGATTCAGCTACTAACACATTTTAGCGCATCTGCAAAATTAGCTGAGCTATAGCCATGTTTGTTAAGGTTAGCTGGGGCGGCCATTTTGGATTTGACTTCAAAAGTTGTAGATGTGCATCCTATGATTATTCCCTCAAGTAATCTCAAGCTGAACTGAAACAACTAATTTCAGAAAATAAACCAAAATGTCTAAACGATTTTTATATATTATTTGTTTCATGTCTAAGAGGTTTGAATGTTTTCTGTTGCTTCAGTCCAGTTTTTAAATTTAGAGATTAATTATCTACTCTGTTTTCCCACGCTTAATCAAAATTCAGTTGTCGCGGAGGTCTGCTCGTCTGAGAAAGGACGAGTCTGTTCAGGGGGTGAGACCTTTCACTTTGTCCTCCCACCCTTCCCCCACCACGTCCCCGCGGCCTCCTGCGCGAGCTGCTTCAAACTCAACGGAGGATGGACAGGAAGCGGAAGTTGCCAATTCTACCTTCAAAATAAAAGCTCTAGTAATCAAACTGATTTTTACTCAAATACTCAAGTGAGATTTTCTGTATGAAAGCAAAAAACTTGGGAAGTCGACATTGTTGTGCACTTAACAAATCGTGGTGGTTTCTTAACTTTAATTTGGAATGGTGGTCACATCTTCAGCGAATAAAAAAACGCTTTTAAGTTTTGACCATAAACGGTTTTAAACTAAAACCCATTGTATGTTGAGTAACAAAGTTGCAGTCATTTTGGTCAAACATTGAGATGTTACGAATGACTCAACTACTACCATGTAAATGTTTAGCCTAATATCTGTAAAACTGATTTGTTATAACCATTTTTGTGCTGGCTGATGCCCATTAGCTGTGATGGTCTTCTTGAATTGAATGGACTCCCAAAGGTAATCTGTTGTAAATTCTTATTTACAACCTCCGATTCTATTTTTCTGCTAGTTTCATGAAAATCCACCGTGAATCATGATATAGTTTGCTAACAGACTGGGTTGACCTCAAATTTTAAGCCTAAGGTTTTAAGCAAAGATTATACAAAATAGAAAAGAATAGAAACATGTGTTGTGCATGACTCTCAGCCATGATTACGCCAAATATTAGGATAAAAGCTGTAAAATTGGCTGCATTATACCCTTTTTTGTGTTTATTCGAGTTCAGGTGACTATGACAGCAATCTTGAATTTGATTGGCTCCAAACAAAATCCTTTGTAATTGTACATCAAATAGTTAATACCTGAAAATTTTGTGCAAATCTGTCCATTACTTTGTGATATTTTGCTAACGAACAGAATTGACTTTAAATTGTTCAAGGGTCAAATTCTAAATAAGGATGCTGCAAAATCAGTTAACACTAAGAAAATGTGTTGGGAGATCTGTCTCAGCTACCAGACAAAAATGTAAGGCAATAAATTTTATGAAACTATCTTTTAAAAAGATCTTGGATTCCCTATCCCTGAAAAAGAATCAGGTGGTTGCAGTACTTAAAGCAGTCACCAGAGGGTGCCGTTGCGCATGCGTAAGAATCTTATTTTGTCAAACCTTTAACCGGAAGTCCTTTCATAAAGCGTTAGCTTCACAGTCCGAAACGTTAGTTTCTCTGCCATGACTTTAGGTCGGCGATGTGTTTTCAGACTTCATAATGCGGCGTTACATGCGTGCACTGCTGTTGTGCACGGTGTTTGCCGTGTTTTCGGGTTTATACGTGTATAGTAAGCTGTTCTACTCGGAGGTTGGGGGAAGCGGAGCGAAAAGGGTGTACATCCCACGGAGAAACACCGGAGCCAGACGAGGGTCCGAGGACAAAACTGTTCCCCCAAACCCCCACCGGTACCCCCATAGGTAGGACTGGATGCTATTAACGGTTTCTTAGGGTGTGAAAAGTTGCAATACGTTAAAATATTTCTCACTAAAAGCATGAGAGAAAAGCTAGAGGCATTAATTGACGACCCTCACTCTTGAGATGTATCGGAATGTGCAAATTTCCTACTCATTGATAACGTCTAGTGACGTCATTACGCAATGTTTGACGCACTATGTCCAGGTGGGCGACGTAGCAGGTGCAGGGAAACCCGCTGTCCACTTCGCCCGTGTAATTCTTTCATTTTCAGCAGATTTATACTAGCTAATAGTTTGGTACCAGAAAATAATTTATGTTTGTGTTTTATTATAAAAGGTTTGCTGACAAAACACTTTTTAAAATGATCTTTTATGTATTTTGAAGAGATTTTAAGGATGCATCTAAAGTTTAAAATGGAATATGGTTGACTTATTTTCTAGCTGCCAGCAGAGGTCACTGTTGCTGCAACAATAAGAAAACAATCTTTCAAAGTTCATTCAAGGATTCAATGTTCTTTATTGTCATTTGTGTCGCATGTGGTGCAGGAGGTGGAACAAAATTGTGTACACAGGGTCCCAGTTACATCCAACAACAGCAAAAAATATAAAGTGTAAAAAGAAACAGTAAATGCTCGATAATCCAGGTAGAAAATCCAACAAAGCTCAGTCAGGTAATCTGCACAGTTTCTTTTGTTGTTGAAATGTTTTGGCTTTATCCAAAGTACTTCATCAGTCTGAGGAGCCACAACAAACCGAGTCTCACAAGCAGCAAACCCACATAGTGAACCAAGTTTGCTGGTGATAAGATGGTTTCTGAGGCCCACCTTCTCCCCCTTCTACTTCTCTGAAGCAGCCATAGCCAAAGGGGTTCAAAACATCAGAATTCATGCTCAATAATCCAGGTAGAAAATCCAACAAAGTTCAGTCAGGGCATCTGGACAGTTTCTTTTTTTGACAGATGAAGTCTTTTGGATGAAGAATGAAACGTCTCAACAAAAAAAGAAACCGTCCAGATGACCTGATTGGACTCGGACTGATGAAGTCTTTTGGATCAAGGACCAAACATCTAAAAAAAAGGAAACTGTCCAGATGACCTGACTGAACTCACACTGATGAAGTCCTTTGAATGAAGGACCAAACGTCTCAAAAAAAGGAAACTGTCCAGATGACCTGACTGAACACAGACTGATGAAGTCCTTTGGATGAAGGACGAAACATCTCATCAAAAAAGAAAAACTGTCCAGATGACCTGACTGAACTCAGACTGATGAAGTCCTTTGGATGAA